TGAGAATGTTTTGCTTTCATTATTCATAAATCTCATTTTTCGTTCCAATATTTCAAATTTTTGAAACTATTTTTGGCGTTGGCAAAATTATGAAATTGTGACCTATTTTCATTTCCGTTTGATTAACTGAATAATTTGCGTCGAATAATATTTATGGGAAAACGTATTTTCGAACTTCAGGACACCAACAGAGACAAAAAAAATGCACTTTTGCGTAGATATGTTTGTGTGGGCGAAAAACTCTTAATGATTTGCTCAAAAATATTTTCTTTCTTTTCATTCTTGTTGGTAAAATATTAAAAAGCGATTAGCAGGATTAGAAGACTTCAAAAAACTCGTTTAATTATGGAATCCATAAACTATTTTGAAGCTCTTCAAATTTTTTAAAAACCACAGATTTTGGGTTTTTGAGTTTAATTTTCTATTATTTTGACACACGAAGATTTGTGAATAAACGCGAAATTTCAAAATAAACGGAATGGTCGATATTTTCAGAAACAGACTATAAATTGACAACATTTGAGCAAACGTATTTGAGCAACATTTAGCCGACAAATAAACCGGACGATGTAGGTCTTTGTGTATGTGTGTAACGTTTGATTTCAATAGAACAGCTGCCAGACAGAGGCCAGACGTGTCAAACGGCACACACAGAATAGTTTCATTGTTGAAACTTCAAAAAAAAAGAACCACCGAATGGCCAAAATAATACAAATAATTTCACCATATAAGGCCAATTTTGCTGGAAGAAATGCGTGTTGCACCTCATGCTGAGCAGCTCGACGACCTCACTGTGTTTGTCACATATTTTCTCGAAAATATTGAACCTCGAAATAAATGAATGGTGTCAAATGCACACCGATTATTTCTTGTGGCAAAATAAATAACAATATGGATTATTATTATTATTATTATTAGGGTTCGCTTCCGTTTTGTAACTTGCATCGAAGCTCAAAACTAAATGCAGAGATAGAAAATTCGAAATACGATTTGAAGGTTTTGAATGAAATAACTCAATTGTAATTAAATTAAAGTGCATACATATGTGTATATAAATAAATACTTCATATATGTAGTTGAAAAAAAAACTAGAATTGAAGAACATAATCTAAAATTAAATGGAATGTACTCGACGTCACGATTTTATTATTAAGTGTGTTTCGCAATTAAAAGAGCACCCTTGCGAATTGTCAGAAATCGTAACAGAACCCCCCAAATCTTGATGATTGAATACGAAGTGTTATAAATTGAATACGAAGTGTTATAAAACCAAACCCAAACATTAATTATTTTCCCATTATGTGTCATCCTTCCAGAAGTAAGTTATTCGGCTTTCACTACTCCGATACAACAATATTTCTATAAATCTGGAGCATATCCAGCATTGAAACCTAAATTATTTTGTTCACAATTGAGCCGTTGGGATGATTCAAACTCGATGAGCTCAATAATTTAATCGTTGTGTGTATGCCAAATCCCCTCCCCCCAAACAGTCATTTGGATTCTATTCGATTTCGATCTAAACCATCAAATCGAAGTTCGAATCAAGAATTTTCAAGTGAAATACATATATATCAGAAAAATAAGCACATAATATATTAAATAAAAGAAATTTTATAGCAATAACAGTAGAAAATGTATTAAGAAATTGAGCAAACTGTTCTGAAGAATTCGTTTCATTTTTAAGCAGAATCATTATCTAAAATATTGTTTACTTGCTATTATCGAACTACGAGCGAAATTAAATGTTATTTTTAATTTGCTGCTTCTTCCAATATTCATTTCAATTCGCAGTCTTTATAAAAATTAGTTTCAACCATAATTTTGATATCAATCAATTTTCTCACAATTTTTTAAAAAATTAACGAAAAAATAATTTTCCCCGATATTTGCAATACCGTAATCAAATTCAACAGATTTCCACCAGATATCGTGAAAAATGTTGAATTCATTGAAAATTACAGTAGATATCAAAGACGCATGTGAAAATGTTCTGATTTCGCGCTTTTAAGATCAAAATTGCTTAATGCGTTTGATCATTCAAATTCGTCCATTTTTTCCGTCTTCGACAATACATAAAACGAAATCTTACTTGGAAAAAAATAACAATGCATGAGCAGGCAAAGTGCACGCATTAATTCGTTTTCTTCACGACTCTCTCATTCAAGTTGCTAAGGAAAGTTGTGCGATGAATCAGAGAATGCTCGAATTAAAAAACATTAGCAACGAAAGAACAGATGGTTTCAAGCTTTGAGAAAACAAACGATTACATCTCATTAATTAAAGCACTTATTTTAGAGAATTTTTTGATTATTAAAAAAGGACTTTGATAATTTGAATAGTTTAATCTTTTTTTTTAATTGAAAAAAAAACAATATTGAGAAAAATAATAGTTTATCTTTTGATTCGGCTTGTTTGAACTTGGCACCTAATTTCTCATTTAGAAAAAAATGTCACTTCCATTTATATGCTGGTGACTTAGAAATTGTTCCTACAAATCGAATTGATTAAATCTAAAATTTTCTATTTTCTTATGCTTTTACAAAAAAAGCGAAACCAGTTGGACGAAAATAAAATGATGCGATTGAATTCCGAGAAAATCTGATCTCGGGCCACTTACAAAATAGCTCATAAGTATGCGAAAGGAAAAGGCGAAAAAAAAATAAAAATATATACATATGTATTCATGATTCTTCTACAAATATAACAGTGAATATTGTGAAGAAGACCAAATTCGAGTGAATTGTGCGCGTAGAAATATCGAATTCATAATCGATTTTGGGCAGATTTGAAAATGGAATGAATAAATAAAAAAGTGATATAGACAAAGGGAAATCAGCGACATGATGTTTGAGTGTCGTTTGGTAGTAGTGCCAAATTTCAAATATTTGTACATTCGCCCTTCGAAATGAGCTGAGCGACAAGAGATACACGGTAGAGCCGAGCTTGGGGCACTCAAGAACACGATATTCACACATTACTGCAAATTGTACGGCGGCAATTAAACAACAAACATTGAAACACGTAAAAATGGCGAAAGCAAAAAAGAATAATTGGTGAAAAAAAAAACAAGTAGAAGAAGACAATCTGGAAAAGGTGGCTTTTTTAATATGCACGATATCCCCGTGTGAATTCTCGTTTTTGGTTGTTCTGCAAAAGAATGCAACTGTCACAAAATATTGCCTCAAAAAAATTGAAAAGTATGACTGACAAAACACAAATAATCATTTTTTTTTGTGATTTTCAGGTATTGGATTTCAAATTGTTATCGATGTTTGAGATAATCCCAAACCTCACAAATTCTTTGAATTATCAACAAATTATATGCAACATTATCACGTTTCTGTTCTCACTTTGCGCACTGAAATTTGATAGTAGATCATGATGATATTGAGAGTAGTCAAGATTTTCCTAATTATAAAACAAAAGAATCTATGTTTCAATCAAACTTAAATTAGTTTCCCATATTTATCTTTCTTCTCTTTATATGTTTATGAGATGCTTATGATTCATTAACAAATTTTTTTTAATTCCAATAAAAGAAAAAGTAAAATAAATTCACATTTATTTAAAAGAATGTACATTTTATGGTATTTTATGGTTTAGGTTCATTACCAAAAAAATAAAACATTTCTTAGTTGTGCAATTTATGAACTCAATAATCGCGAATTCTGCCGCTTTCGAATTTCAAGAAAAAAGAGAAAACAAAAACAAATAAAATCATTCAGTCAGCGCGATGAAAAGAAAATCAACGCAAATACACAGCTCCCGGGTAATACGACACCTTTCAGAATAAAATGAGAGTCGCGTTTGCGAAGGAAGAGATTCGTAAGTGAGGCAATTAGGAAAAACGCAAACCGACCAACACAGGCCAACAGATTCGAAAGAATCAGAGACGAAGAAGGACGCTACTGACGTGAGGGTGGCAACAATCTCAACAATTTAGTACGAGCAAACATGGTATGAAAGAATTGAAACATAATGCAGCAAACCCTTATTTTAAACATTTCGAGCATGCATCATTGAAACAACGAAATTCAATAATTTGGTGGAGGTTGTTATGTTTTTTTTTTGATATTTATATTTTTTTTATGATTCCATTCGAAAATCACTCGAAAGTAGACATCAACATCACATTTTCCCATTTTCTTCTAGTTATCAGTAGACATTTTTAGCAATCATTTTATGACAAACAGAAAATGAAACGTCGGTAAAGTCATGCAGAATTCACGGTAACTTAGGACAGACTCAAAAATGGCTGCTGAAAGTTTCTAATCAGAGTTGCCGCAGGTCTGCCTGACTTCCCTCAGTGCAGATTTTTCAAATCTTTCATTTTCATAAAACATCTTCCGTTGGACAAATGTAAGTATCAAAAAACTTTTTGATAAAAATATACTTGAACTTTTAATAATAATAACCTTATTATCAGCAAATGTACCACTGGTTGTGGTTCTTCTCAATTTAAAGGTGCTTGTTTGGTTGATATTATTATTGTAAGTTTTAAGCTTTTCAATAGGCTGAAATAATATTTGAAGATGATGATTTCGAATATATTAGGGATCAAAACTTATTCTCTGAAGATCACTGTATGTGGAAGTAAGTTTTCATGAAAAAAATCATTTTTCATAGACAGACTGTCTATGTGAAATGAGTTGTCTCATTGGAATGAATTGAATAGAGAATAAAATGTAAAATTAATAATAATTAGTTAAACTAAATTGCTTTATAATTATTTCGTGACCTCAACTTGTTCGTCATTTCCATTTGCAAGTTTGGTTTCATTGCCTTGCATGATGAGTTCTTAGTACCAACCAAAACACAATATTGTTTGCTTATTAGGTTCCCCGAGACTTTTCTCTTCTTTCTAGAACACAACTGATAACAGAGAACCGTCTAAAAGTCTGGGTCTCTACCGAACAAAAATCGCTCGCTCAGATTATTGTTGTCAGTATTTTGTGACATTTCCCACATTAAAACGTTTTTTTTGTGATTTGCAGGTCATGAATCTACTAATTTTCGTTTTATTTTCAACATTTGCATCTTTCTCCAATGCTGGTCCCATTGTAAATGTCAAGTACGGGAAAATCGAGGGTTTCGAACACACTTCACCAACCGGTCATGTCTCCGAAGTATTTCTGGCTGTTCCATTCGCCAAACCACCGATCGGAGATCTGAGATTTGAACGACCCGAAGAACCAGAACATTGGGAAGATGTCTACCAAGCCACACAGTTCCGAAATGATTGTACTCCTCATTATTCGCTGGTGGCCACATTCTCCCATTATTCGGGCGAAGATTGTCTCACATTGAATATCATTAAACCAAAAACGGTTTCCGGAAAACTTCCCGTCCTATTTTGGGTTCATGGCGGAGGATATTCGATTGGATCAGCGAGTCAACATGGATATCAAGTATTCGCTGATAAATACGTTCCGAAAGGAGTTATTGTTGTTACCATTCAATATCGGCTAGGATTCATGGGTATGCTTGTTAGTAATTTAAAATAAAACTTTTATTCATGTTTTAAAGGATTTTTCACACAAGGAAAATCTGGAAATATGGGACTTTTCGATCAAGCAGCAGCTCTCAGGTTTCTTCTTTCTGTTGTTCTTATCTTAATTATTATTTTTCAGATTTGTGCACGAGAATATTGATAATTTTGGCGGTGATAAATGTAAAATAACCATTTGGGGATACAGTGCTGGTGGAGCAAGTGTTTCTCAATTGACCATCAGTCCATATACTCGAGATCTTTACGACAAGGCTATCGTGATGTCAGCTAGCTCGTATGCTGGCTGGGCAACTGGCGCTGAAATCGAGAACCATTCGAAGGAACTGGCTGAGGCTTTGAACTGCGATTGGAATGATGCCATTGAATGCATGAAGAGCAAATCCGTTGAAGAAATTTTCTCAGCGGTTGACAAAATTGGCTACACAACTCAGAATATTGATAGCATTAAATGGTCGCCGATTATCGATGGAGACTTCTTGCCAGCACATCCTGATGAACTGCTGTCGCAAAGTCCGGTTAAGCCTACATTAATCGGACTTAGTAGCAAGGAAGGAACATATTTCAGTATGGTTTTTTCTTGAAATAATCCTATTTGTCAATTTCAGCAACTATGAACCTTGGAAGGGTTCTCAGTACATTTGCTGTCACCAAAGAGGATTGCGAGAAAATTGATGAGAAATTCGTTTTGAACTTTATCAAAAACGTATATCGAAAATACATAGATTAAGAAAAAAAAAACCCAATTGCTGATTTCCAGAAAATATTGTACAATAATCGGTTCGGATCAAAAAGTGACAATGCTTTGAAGAAAATCTCCGAGTTCTATTTGCGCCGAAACCGACCGGAACACCTCGAAGGCAATGCATTCTTCCTCGATGCTTATGCGCAGGTTTCTAGACGTGCTCTACTGTTTAAGATTGTTTCAATGGTTTCAGCTAGTTTCTGACATTTTCTTCAATGTTCCAGTTATTCGTGATATAATTCGTCGAGTTGAATTGAACACCCCAATTTGGGCATATAAGTTTGAATGTTTCGACGATGCCATTTGGCACGATCACATTCCGAAATCGATTCGGGGATCCCCTCATGCAAATGAATATCATTATTTATTCGATTTGCCACTAATAGCAAATATCGACACATCGAAAGGGAAACCAAAAGAAATCCAAGAAAATCTTATTGATATGGTGGTCTCGTTTGCCAAAAATGGGTAAGCATAAAATCATTTATTTTCAAGAAAAATAATTTACTTTAATTGCAGACGTCCAGAAATTCAAAATATTCGATGGAATCCAGTGAATAATAGCGACGAGATAAATTATTTGAGTTTCACGCAAAACGGGTTAACATTGAATAACGGAGATTACTTTGAAGGTACCATATATCATTTATTGATTTTAATTTCTAGAAATTCCATTTTAAGAAAATACATCATTTTGGAATAATCTTCGAGAAGACCTAGGACTCGATGTTGTCGATCCGACAAGTACAAGAAAAAATCGTGAAAAAACCGAGCTTTAGTTAAATATTGCTAACAATTTCGCCCTATTTGTCATGTATGAAATTATTCGAAATAATGTGCAGACACAGAAAAGTGTTGCGCCGACGGCGGCAGTTTTTTGTTCTCCGTCCAACTTCCGTGCCGCTAAATGGACACCGTCCATTGGCATGTTTGCTCTATGCGAGACGCGAGCACCTTCGTAAATACAATGCTCGTGTGCATGCGACCCGCTAACAAACACACACACACACACAATCCCATACAAAAAATGACAAGCCGTATTATGATGACAGCAAGAAAAATATTGAAAATAATACGATAATAACGCGGTCAAGCGTTTTGACACGGTTCTCGATAAACATTCGCCAAATTTTAGAACGTTAGGAATACTCAAATTTATCTAGGAATATCTCAAATTTCAATAATGAGTAAAATCTTCATATAATATTATTATGATGTTGCCTAAAAAACTAAAAAAAATTCACATCGGGAAACCTCTTAAAAAACTAATACTAAAATTCTGTAAATTTGTGAATTAATCATTTTCGTAAGACTTATTTGAATCTAACATTTAAACATTACACTAATTCGAAATAAAAAATTGAAACGTTGACTTTACATTAGAAAATCAAAACGATGCGTTAGATTCGCAGATTATCTGTAGAACGAAAAAGTGCAATGGTCCACAATTTATCAAGGTGCTCTTTGCGATGACAATGAAAAACCTCACCGGCTTCTACTTGATTCCACTTAATTTTAAAATTATTTCGGAACAATAGAATAAATTAAATGTGATCAATGTTATCTGTCATAAGAAGTTGCGCATAATCTCCGATTATGACAGTATTTCTATAAATAAGATCTCCCCATATCAAAAATTGACATAAAATGGAGGAATCGGCTCTTGAATATTGCTGGTCGAAAACGGTTTCTAGTGTAGAACATGCAATCTCAAATTGTAGATTTTCCCGCAATGCTCGAAGAAATGTTTGGCTTATCACTTTGTTAGGCTCATACCGTCGACGTCCGATTTGTTGACCCACGATAATTTGTCTTGAACAACAAAAATCCCAAAAAAATCTGCGCTCAGCATTCGAGAAGAGGTGTACCGGACCAGTCTTTGTATTTGTGTAAACGCCTAATCCCCGACAACCTTAATTGGCATCTGGCGCATGTGCCGGAGCTTGTGCGCGCGCATGAAATGGGCGTGTCCGGCGACGACCAGTTCCGCACTGTCCGTTGCGCGGCGCCACTCCTTGAAACGACACGGGCTCATAATCGAGAAGTGTAATCATTTTGCAAAGGCATTCAATGATCCGTCTCCTTCTCATTTCATCCCTGGTTGGTTGTCTTCTTTTTTTTCTTTAGTTAACCCATTGCGTCTTCTAGGCTTTTACCAGTGTTCTGGCAGCTATTGATATTTGCGAATATTACAAACTCATCGGAAAACTTCACGAGCATCCAGAATGTGCGAAAAACTTCCCAACTCCTGCTCCAACTACTGAAGCCCCAAAAATCGGATTCTGCTCCAGCTCGGCTGCTTTGATTCAGTGTACTGCTGATGCTCAAACATGCCCACTTTCCGGTCAAGTCTGTATTCAATCGGACGGCAATAAGTGCTGCCAAATAGTTACCGCCGGAATCCCAGCTTCTGAGATCAACTCCAAATCCGGATCGTGCCCTCGTCCTCTTGGAATCTCGGTTCTCCAGGACACCACCATTGGGTGTTGGATGGATTCAAACTGTCCCGGTATTCAGAAATGCTGTGTTGAACCGAATCCAGTCACCAACTCTGCTACCAGAATCTGCCGTGATCCCGTAGGGATTTCGAGTAGGAGTGAGCGTTAGGCAGACAGTGATTGTCAAATCCTAATCGTTCAGGTACCACAATTTGCTCTCTGCCACTTGCTGTGGGATCATGCACTGCGCCAGCCGTGCGCTTCTATTACGACGCTTCATCAGCCCGCTGCAATCAGTTTATGTACAGCGGATGCGGTGGAAACGCCAACAATTTCCAGTCTTTGGCGTCGTGCCAAGCAACCTGCGGACAAAGCGGAGTTGTTGGAACTCCAGCGTGCCCAGCTGATGCCAACGCTGGTCTCAACTGTTTGTTTTCACATGCTGATGCTTGCAATACTGATTCAGATTGTCTTGGAAGAGAAAATACGGTGAGTCGATGATACATGGTTTGCGGCATGATGGAACAATTATTTATTGAAACGGCTCAAACGAATGTTAATTAATGGGTATTTTAGGCGCAACCATCGTGCTGTATGACCAGTTGTGGTTACAAGATCTGCTATCAATATTAGTAATTCTTCTCAAATTTTCATTTCAATGCCCATCTTTGCCTTAACAGGTGTTTGTTGAAATCTTGACGGCAACCCCAATTCGACAAAATGCTGGTCGAGATTTCCCGAACACCGTCCCACTCTCAAAATCCCCCGATATATTCTAGACCATAATATATATATATACATATTTGAAATAATTAATATACGTAATTTATTTGTTGCATGTACCGATTGTTACGGAATTCTTACGATAAAGTTTGTTTCGATTTGTGCGAATTGCTGATCAGTCAAATAATGGTTTAATTGAGTGACAAGTTGCGCCGGAAAACACATGTAGCACCGGGCAGGTTTACACAGCTGACAAGCTTTTCAATGTTTTTCATGAGTTACAATTTCTGCATCTTGTTTCTCATTGGAAAGCGTTTTTCGCTGTTTCTGATCGTTCGCCTGTTTCACTCAAAACATTCTGGCATTCAAACGAAACCCGCTGTCTAATATCCGCTACCACGTTTTGTTGCGCGATTCCATCTTAGCAGTAGTATAAACATGGCAAAGTATCAAATTTCGATGAAAATTGAGTCAAGTGGAAATCCCAGTGTAATCCATACGAGACACATGCCTCCCTTAACCAACCATGGCCATTATTAAGTTGATTTAATAATACAAAGTTGTTGGAGCTCTAGCAGGTGTTCAGGCTTTCTCTCCCCCGGGGAGTATTGACTAGATCTAATTAGTCGTCCGTCAGGCAGCCAAGTCCCGAAGACGACTAACAGGTGTCTTCGAGCATTTGTACGTATTATATCCGTTTTTATGATTCTTGAGTAGGCACGTTTGTCTTCCTGAGGTTTGCCCACTAGAACAGATGGGATTCATCAATTTTTGTCATGTTTTGTCATTGTTTTATCTTCTCCTTCTTTTCCGACTTCGCCATGGTTTTTGTTGTTGTTCTTCGTCTGGCGGCCACGACCAAAAGAATCCTGACATGCGAAAAATGGCCGGATTAAATTCTTGCATGTTTCGTTGACTGCACACGACGTTTTTTTCCTCTTTATAAAAACCGCGGATGTGGTTCAAAAGCGTATAATTTTAAAATTTGTTCATAGATTTATTTCAAAAAATGGATATTTTCTAAAGATCAACGCACTTCCTGTTATATATTTTTTCGTTAGAAATAAGCTTTTTTCATTATAATGTTTGCCAAAGGATATTCAAACACACGTTTATGGGATTTCAAAAACAAATCATTCATTTAATCTTGAATTTTCCTAGAATTCAATGAATTTCTCAAAACATCGTTATGATAAAAATCAATTTTTCTCATTTTTTTTCAGAAATGCTCCGTAAAAAACAAACCTAATAATCAAGAATTGAATCACTCTTATCGAATTTATTTCCCATTAGCAATTTTGGCAAAATATTTTGACTTTGTACATATTTTTCATATGTCAATTGGTTGAAGCCAGTTAGCCTCATTTTCATACGCTGTAGCTCGTCTGTCTTCGCACAAAACTTAGTGTTTGTGTAATTTTTGGGACCATTACTTATAATTGTTTCTTGCGAATGCCACGCCCATATGTTGAGGTTTCCTCCGTGCATAAAACATGTAACGTTTTGCCTTATTTGGTTATCTTATATTCGCTTCTTCTAATGCAATATTTATAAGTCGATGATGATAATCAGGCGGATGCAAAAAAACGAGGAAAGAGAAAAATAATGATGAATTTTTTTTCTAATGGTATAGATTTTTGTTAATTTGTTTGTGCGTTTGTTCGCAAAAAAAAGAGCCCAACAACAATGGATTTTCAGTTATCGTTAAGCATGTCCTCAATTTCTCGTCTGGCTCCAATTAATTCAATTTTGGCCTGACATAAAATATTCTCCGGCAGTCTAAATTACCCGCAATTTTCGTTCAAACTCTTCGCTTTCCGTTGAACCAATTACATTTGAATTATTAATGAACAATTGCCTTCTCTCATTCGCATTTTTCGAAACAACAAATTTTTTGCCAGTTTTTCCCGCCAAATATCCTATTAAATTATTGATAAATTTTGCGACTATCGAGCCTTCGAGTTCATTAAAACACTTTTCGAGGCTAGCAAACCGATGGTCCCATCGGAATTGAATACAACGGATTGAATTTGGAATTGTATATATTCCTTATTTGGGAAGGGACCTCACTCCCTTCGGGGGATATTATTGCTGAATGGTCCACCCATTTGATGATTTTTTAACAAAAAAAATTGAAAAGCTGCCGTCTTTTTTCTTTCCGCCGTTTTTGGCGTCGAGATTTATGTATCGTTGCGTGGCCAACAAATCATCGAAGTGACACGTTTTACCCTTTTTTTGTTTTTTTTCCTCCGACTCTAGTTTATCGGAAGCAGGTCCTTTTTTCTGTGACGTTTTGCGTACTTACACACAAGCTCACACACACACACACACACACGCACACAGACACAAGCACAATTCAATCCTTGACGAAATGGGTTTCGATTCGTGTAATATTGTTGTCGAAACGTTTCACGCTTTCTTCTTTTACCCTCATTCTTGTGGCAATTTTCAACTTCGAAAACCTAACGACTACTTTTTCCTGGCGTCGAAGTGCGTTCCGATTTCCGGTTGTATCTTCTTTTCATAAGATTTTCCAACAATTTTCTTCGAATGCAACATTTCCTTGATTCACTTGCTCCGGTTTCAATACCCAAACCGACATATTTCTGAGATTCTCGCTAATGAAAATAGAAACTCTCTAGATTCTGAATTATCATTTTAGATGATCCTTCTTTGAAACACTTTTTTCCTGATAAATGAAAGGTAAAATATTTCAAAATTTGATCCATCTCCATCAAACTTTGATCAGTTTCACTCCACAATAGCCACATTTATTATCAATGTGGTTTCTTCTTTCAATATGCTCGATTTTGCAGTTTTCTTCATTAGACGCTCTCAGACAACCCGCTAGAAGTAGCAGCTCTGATATGTATAAAGTCAAAAACATTGCTCTTGCGCGTCATGCATTTCCGATTTCGATTGGTAGTCAAGTATCCAAATTTCATTGACAATTTCCTCTTGAGGGTTACAACTTCTAGTATAAAAATTCTCATCGAACAAACTTATTTTTCACATTTAAGAACACCTTTAATACTGACATCATATTTTAAGATTTCGTTTAATTAATGGCATTATCTCGGATCATAGATTTAGACAAATAAATGAGTCTTAGTCTCTTTTCTGATCGTCCAATTTACTTTGCTCAAATCACTGAAATACTATGAGTAATATATTGAATAAAGTTCATTAATTCAACCGTGTTCTTACGTACATACGTATATTCATTTTTTTAGTTGTTTGCTTGCTAGTTTTTTTTTGTTGTCGACAATTGCAATTTTTCTATTCATTCGCAATATTTCCAAGCTCGGGTTGGTCTATTTTCTTTGAGGGATATGATGAAAAATGGTGTATCAAAATTCGGTATGTTTTTAATGTTTTTTAAGTGTGTCAGTAAATTTGTTTTAATGTGAAGAATGATGAGTAATAATTAAGCATTTTGAATATATTCAAAAAATAATGAAAAATTGCTGCCTGTTTTTGCTTGACGGCTTGTTTTCTAAGAATTAACCAATTCTATGAGGTGATTTGATTATTCTTTGCAATTCTAGTTAGTTGTTCTTTATATTTCGGCGTGTTTGGCTTCACCGCGGTTTTTTTTTCATCAAAAAATATATATATGATTTACCAGGAACCTCTCGTCCGGAAATTAGTGCCATAACTAGTACGTATTTTCGCTTTCAATATTTTTTGAATAGAATATTTGCGGAAAAGGGGGAGATATTCCGCATAACGGAGACGACCGATTGCAAAAAAAAAACAAGCCTTTCATCATTTCTGACAGCTTTGTTCATCATTGCAAAACTAACCAAATTTAATGCGAATACTGCGTTGTCGCTGATCCGGAAAATGGCTCATTTTATCCAACGGTAATCCCACTTGCATAATTACATTTTTTGATGCTCTTCAACGTTTTCATTTCATTCCTCCTCATTCTTTGTTTTCACTGTTGATTCGCCCGTTTCAGCATTGTATATTATTTTCTTTTCGCAAAAGATTTTTGGTTGAATAAATGACGAGATGTCGGTTACCGACATCAAGAACAACCCTCGCGTGTCAAGTATATTTCATCGTTTGAATTTGAAATGCTGCCGTCCCGGCTTCGCAGATTTATTTGATGAGAATCCTTTTTCGTTTCCTTTTGAGAAGCAACGAGAAGAGAAGGGGCTGAATAAAAAACATTAAATCCAGAAAAATTGATTTTCGAAAATCTGTGATTTCAGAGAATCCCGTCAGAAATAGAATCACGAAAAGACTAGACCAGTCATAACTGCAAATTCAACTTTTATCCGGTTTTCTCATATATGAAATGTAATATAATAATTTATGTGAATTTTGATATGACTATGGAGTTATCGATAAGCATATAATTCCGAAATGCTTATGCACATATCCAATAGGATTTTATCGAATTGAGTTCAAGAAAGTCCTCTGCTAATTAAGCTCAAATTAACATCATTCTTAATGGCTTCTTTGGTTTTTGATTCACCCGTTGCTTTATTTCAAAGCATATGTTGCTTTTCCTTTTCACTTTTTTGAAAACGTTAAGAGATTTTACTTCATTTCGGTGCCCACGCATTTTCTTTTTTTCCATAATTTTCAATCACAAACCATGGGTGGTCACCACCCATTAAATCATCATCACGGCAAAGGTTTAGTGCCTACCTCTCGACAAGTCGTTTGCCTAGAAAAAAGACGGAAGACGAGGGTAATTCAATTGTATTTGTCGCCTTCTTCTGAATACAACTCTTTTTGCCCCCCCCCCCCCCAACTAGCTTCTGCCAACGCCTCGTCTATAGTGCTTATTTTATTGGTGTCTTTCTGTTGTTTCTTTTTTATTATTTCGTGTCAAAGCATCATCTTGTTTTTTTCAGGACCACTGGTACTATGTCCCAATGCCCGTTTGGACGCTATTCTACTCGTTATTCATAATTTGGGGCCAAATCATTTCCAACGATGCAATCAAATGCTACTCGTGCGCAAACGAATTCGTCGTATGGCAATGGCGGCATTTCTTCCTTAAAAGGAACTACGATATCGCTGCGAGTGATGCCGAATGCTCGAGCAGAGATTATATATCAGATTTATATCAAAACTGCCATTCGACATGTTTCGTATTCTCGTTGAACGGAACCAATAAGCATACGGGAGAAACGCGGGTGCTAGGTTATTTTTAATCAGCGACTACGTCTCTCGAATTGTATAATTTCAGGTGTTGGACGTGGTTGTTCGGCTCACTTCCTAACAGACGACCAGCATCTTCATCTAGGGCTCGGATCCCATTCGCGACCATCTCATATTGGGAGCTATTTGCCAAAAGAATTCGATCAGGTGAAAATTTCTTCCGTTTTTCCAAAAAATGCATAAATACTCGGTTAATGGTGGCAATTTTGTGAAAAACCTTCTGCACTATTTTTTTGCAGAGCTCAAATTGTCATTTCTTTTTAATGATTCCAGCTCTCGCAAAAACTCAAACAAGTCCTGTGAGAAACTATGTAGTATTTACACCACTATATACATATGTATATATTTTTAATCAGTTTCTTTTTTCTTCCTCCGAAGTTTGCATTGCGTCAAAAAATAATTTCTCAATGAGACGTTCTATTCTAGACTTATTCTGTGAATTAAAAATACTTTCTATTTTTGTTGCTTCGGAATTCGTAGTTCATTAAATCATTAGCTATTTCGATTTCCAAATCATGTGATTTGTTTAGATGGACATAACCGAACACTGGTGCTTCTGTGCGACTGACAAGTGCAACAGCGAAGACTGCTATTCATCGCCATTCGGTTCCCGAGAATACGCCTCATCATACATTGCCAAACGACTACAGTATTCTTCATACGCGCATAATCCATGGAGATATCGAAATACGGGTAAAACCAAATCGAAATCAATTCAAACAATTGCCGGTTTTCAATTCTTGCAGGTTCAACATTCGCCACTTCTATTCTCCTTTCTTCTATTCCAATCACGCTTTTTTTCATTGTATAATTAATTCATTCTATAAAAATGAGAGATAACAAACATTAGAAAATAAATACCAAACAATCGATAAGTGAGATCGCTGTGCTATAATGGTCAAGTAGAGAAGGCCGAAAACAAGATTCACAGCTGAAAGACGGGACATCAAATCTGAATACTGGTTTGCAAAAACACAAAATGTTTGAGCAGTAGTTGCGGTTAAATGGATGATGATAATGAAATGTATCAACGTGAACCCGTTACATTCAAAATGAACGGAAAATAAACTATCACACAGTATCGTCGTATTATGGGGAACACGAAGAAACGGCCGAATTCGGCATGATTCGGTGCCATTTTGGAGCTGCATGAAGTTTTTTTTCTAACGCAGTCTCCCTATCACAATTGTCATATCCTAGTGCGCGTTAGGGGATGCCTGTCCGAGTCTTCCTCCTGCTCAATCTGAATGGCTGGCACCGCAGCAATCGGTGGGGATGTCGATGATGTACCATCCGAGGAAGTTTCGGGTTTCCATTCTCCAGACTCCAATTCTCGCAATGGTGGAACAGTTCTGAAATGCACTTCTATTTGAGGGGCAAGCCATATTTTCGTATTAGAAAAAAAAATTGTGCTATCTATTTATAGAGAAATCATTATTTTTGGTATTAAAATTATATTATTATATAAAGGCGTACATATTTGTTATAAATTAAGCACACCTGGGTAATTGAATATATTCTGATATGTGACGATATAAACAGAGTCTGTATTCAATTTATAATATGCTCTCAGCGAAAAGCATAATTTTGTGAGATTTTGATGATTCACAACGAAAAAAAAACGCGAAATTGTAACCTTTGCCATTGCTGTTGGTGTTGCTCACTCCAGGAAACACTTCTCGCTACAGGCTGGGTATCAATGCTTAACCGATTATTGGACTCGTTGAGATTCGTAAATGATCCGGCAGGAATTGTTGATGGAGTGGCAACTAGAATCATACAGACTATAAATGATCCAATTTTTCTCATTGTTACCTCCTGCATTTAAAGCTAGAATCTTTTCAATATTCGCTAAGCGATTATTGACTTGCTCAATAGCACCTAGTCGCTCTCCGATTATTTCGAATTTCGATTTCATCTCCGTTCGGATATTCGATAATGAACTCCATTCGCGATCCTTTTTATCCATTCCCCAGCTGGTTCGCGAGAATGCGTCTTCATCAACAGTTTGCCGTTTCTAAACACCCACTGATTCAGCATAGCCATTAATTTTGAAATCAAACCAATAACGGAGGTCTCTTCTGTTTGCATCTTGGAGATTTCGAGCCATTTCCATTCGTCTCATCCAGCATTGAATGTAGAGAAGATATTCTCGAAATCTCCGACGACTTCTTCAATCCCTTTTCGATATCGGCAAACATCGGACTTGGGAATATTCGTAGACCGTGACGTTCTCTCATACGAAACAATAGTTTTCGAACAGGATGATCAGGAGGTAACGTCAGTTTTTCATTTTTTCTTTTCGCGTCAAGCTCTTTTTCCCGTTTGACATCGGCCACTTTACGGAATTTCATCCGATGCGTTAGATTATATGTTAGAGTCATGTTTCGAGCAAACGAATTCGCGAATGCTTTGTAGAAATCGAGAACCTGAAATATTGAAATGGATTCCCAAAAAATCAGAAATCCCCTCCTACATCCATCAATTTGTTCTTTTTGATCATATGCAAGTCGGAATAAGTCAGAGCTCGAACATTCGCAGCGGATTGTCCGGTGACTCCGTTATTCTTCCAAAACTCGTCTCCGAAAACATCGCCTTTGCCCAATATTGCAACAACTTCTTCGTCTTGTATCACTTCCAATGAGCCGGATACGACAAACCACAGAGCATCCACAGATTCGCCGGTGTGGTACAACAAGTCTCCAGGTGCTGCGTGATTCAGCTGAATGATTTGCGAATTTATAAGCTTTGCGGAGTTCGATCAAACCTCAAGATACATCGCGAGAGACCTCAAACATCCGTCGGAAGCCAAACGAAAGCAGCTGTGCTCATTGAACACCTTGCGATTTAAATGCACACAAATGTCCGCTTTCATGTCTTTCGGACAATATCCTAACACTTTCGAGGTATCGATGCCCTTCGTCATTGCCCAAGTCGATACAACATAATCCATTACACGTTCGGCGAGCTCTTTTGGTATTTCTTGCAGTTTGATGAACTCCCGAACATTGCTGATCATCTCGTGATATCTAGGAATACAAAATCAGTATCGGAAATATGAAACCAAAAAAAAAATACCTGACTGTACTGCTCGTCATTTGCTGGATAATAGTAGTCATGTGGCCAAAGATGGCAGCATATAACAACGCAGAAATGATCATCATACAAACTCCGAAGATCTGAAAATAACGACTATGTCAATTCTTCTCTTCGAACCCACTTTTTCGTTGTCCGTGGTGCTGGCAATATTTCCGAAGCCTACAGTCGACATACAACTCATTGTGTAATAAAGTGCTGAAAATATATATTGAAATTTACTCTAACAATACTCTAGCTTACAAGAAATATAGGCGGAAGTTCTTGAGGGTCCTCCAACAAGAGTTGACCTATTTGACATAGTTACATTATATGGTTGTCGAAGGTCATTTGAAAGCTTCCAAAGCCACCCATCAGGTAATCCAGGGTTATCCATCTGAAATACGTTGCTCATTGCATACATAATGATCAACATCAGAATAGATAATCAAAAACGAAATATCTCACCTTTAATCGGACTTCCGAATCTCCAATCCAAAACCAAACACATGCTAACCAGTGAGCCACAATGACATAAGCGCATAATAACAGCAGAAGAGTTGCTGCACCATATTCGAGGTAATTATCCAATTTTCGAGCCACACGTCCCAATCTGAGGAGTCTGACAACTTTGAGCGCAGAGAAGAGGCTTCCGATTCGCTCGTCGTCTCGTTTGAACATATAAAAAATATCATAGGGTAGGCAAGATAGAAGATCTATGAGGAACCATGACTTTAAATAATTCTGTCTAATGACTGATGGCTCTATGACGACCTGAAATAAATATACATGAATTTATGAGGAAACATTTCGAAAATGAAATCAACCTCGCCACCAGGTCCGACAAAAGTAGTATGAAAATTAAGAAGAATGTCTGCGAAAAAGATGACATCAACGATAGAGTCCATCAGAGCCACTGAGTCGATGCCACCGCCCGTGTTTTCCCTGCAATCCCATTACGAATCAGGCATTCAAATCGCAGATAATCGGGGATATTCGCGTGACAGAAAAAAGCTGTGCGTAGTATATTCAGCGTGTTTTGTTGGAACATGGACTTGTATGTACATAGAAGACATTTCGAACAAAACAGTGAGAAAACGTGTAAGTGCAAAACAGAATGTAAGTGTGTGAAAACATTGAAAGCATTGAAAATTGGTTACCTGATCAAGTAGAACGGCCTGAGGCTAAAATTATCAAAATTTTTAAAGAATTAGATAAGCCCGGAAAAACCGGTTTAAAAGTAAAATTATGTGTACGAAAAGAAAAACACGGTGTTCGCATATTAGGAAGATGAGAGACAGCCAGGTTAGATTTAAAAAAAAAGAAAAAATATTTGCCCTGATTCTGACGACAAAAATGACTACCAGAATCGGTTGCCGCGAGATTCCGTTCCACGCGCCTTTAATTACCGGCCCCGAAAAGAAGCATATTTCGAAAATTAGGAGACTCGTCAAACTGTCTTTCAAATCGAGTGTTCTCGTGTCGAATTTTCAATTATTTTCATTTTTCAAATTCGAATAAAATGAAATTGCAAAGAAAATTGTGAGTAAGGCGATTCAACAAGAAATTTTTTTTAATTGATAAAATAAACAAAACGCTAAAAAATTGGCTGGGTCTTGCGACGATCGATTCTGGTAGCCGCTTTTTTTTCAGAAACAGATTATTGTATTGTTGGAAAATGACGAATTCGAATTAATATCTTCAGCTAGATGTCGTTGGATCCAACCATTTTTTTTAATTTTCCTATTTCCACAACTGTCCTGATTTTCATAGTTTTTATTTAAATAAAAATTCTTATTTTTTCAGCATTTTTTTAAACTGAAAATGGTTAGCAGTAGATCCAATAATATGTGTAATTTGTCACATAGAGATAAAAAAAATGAAAATTGAACTGAAACCTTTTAAAATTGAGACAATTGTGAAATACGAAAATCAAAAAAAAATGTTATCTATTCGATGTAGACCCCACGACACCAGGATATATTCATTTTGAAAAATTATTATCGTCAATAAAAATTACTAAAATTTATAATTTCTTAGAATGAAGATTGGTTAAATTCAACGTCTCTAATTTTAAAAAATAATTTAAATGAAACGGAAACCTACCTATTTTTGAAGGCGATATTGAAAGGCACCATGAAGGCTGTATAGAAGGTAAGTGCTAATATCGACCAATCCCAAATGGTTTTGAACGAAGAGTAATGTAAAATGATGTGCGGCGAGGTCTTGGGCGTTTCTTGTCGATATTGCGGCAGCATGTCCCCGCCGAGATTCATCACCTGCAACAATTTCCAAACTCCACATGACGGCCAACATTTTTATTCATTCAAATTTAGCTTTTTTTCAATTTTTCAATGAAAGATTTCGAGTACAATGTTTGAATTTTCTGTGGATTTCAAGTGCGAGAAGACAGCACAAAAAATCGAAATCCGTGTGTTTATGTTAGTGATATACAGCTTCTTTCTGTTGTGAATTATATGCGTGAAACCAAATATTAAATATAAAAGCGGAACATCATATTGATGGCATGCATCGGGTAAAAATTGGTGCAGAACTTAACGCCATTCTCTCAATCAATTAGCAATTTTAGCTTGTCTGTGTTCTTGAAAACCAAAAATATTTGAAAATCGCTTATGACGGCGAATTCAAAATTAAACCACAATATTTTAGTTGTTAGCAAAAGTTCCAAATAACGGCGTGTGAGTGAATTTTGCTTTAATCGAAGGGACCAATTGGAAATTTTTCCAATTGCTCCATCCACGACAATACTTTAAAGAAAAATAATTACAGTTCATTCCATATCATTCATAGCAAAATCTATTCGCAATGGAACACAGTTTCTTGATTTCTTGAATTTTAAAAAATAAGAATTACGAAATTGAAACAATTAAGATACATGCAAACATTTTTGTTGATAACTTTTATAATTTTATAGAAATTCAAAATGTGTTTTATGCCAGCCCAAACTTAAAAGGGAAGCACTAAATTAGCACAATACTCATGCACAACTAATTCTACAGTAGAGGCCAACTCACAAAGCTGTGATCGTTCCATTTGCCATGACACTTCAAAAAGCATAAATACATAAAGGGAAATTTGTTAATAATAAATAGGGAAGTATTCCGTTATACAGGGCGCGGCAAAATTACGGGTGCATAGATAAAACGAAATAACCTTTTTTTAAAATCAACAAAACTCTTTCAAATTAATACTAGAATTTATTCAACACATAACAATCACAAATTAATTATCGTTGTTCGATTCTTCCACCTCGATTCTTGATAACTTCCTTCAGACGCTTCGGATAGGCGTCGACGGTGGCACGCAGGTATTTGGCGTCCAATTTGTCCCATTCCTTCAGAAGGGCAGCTTTCAATGAGTTTATATTTGGGTGTGGGAAAGCTGACACCTTCTCTTGCAAGACCCCCCAGACAGAATAGTCCATGAGATTCCGGTCGGGCGACGAAGCGGGCCAATCCGTTGAACCAATGAATGGTGAAAAATGGCTGCCGCACCAGTCTTGAATGATTTTGGTTCGTTGTGCAGGCGCTCTGTACTGTTGAAAAGTCCAAGATCGATTTCCGAATTAGGATTGGGACCAGGAAAGGACATTCTTCTTCAGAATCTCATTAAGATAGCCATTTTTATCAATCTTCACTCCGGGATCAACGAAATCAGTGGTGCTTTGTCGTCAGCGCAGATCCCACAGAATACCATGATCTGCTGAGGATGGGAAACACGATGAATGGTTCTGCTTTTGTTCATAGCTTCTTCAGACCTTCTGGTGATCACTCTGTGGTTTTGGAGATTGAAAGCAGCTTCTACCGTAAACAGCTTCTCATCCATGACGAAAGTCGTTAGGCGTTTTCCTTGCCGCGTGCCAGCTAGGAGCGATTTGCACTTTTTCATTCGACCTTCTTTATTTTTTTTTTAGTTAGAATGGCGGCCTTTCTGACACGATAAGGTATCAGGTTCAGCTCATCATTGGCAATTTTTCCCACTATCTCGGACTCACATAGACTTCTGACGCCATCTTTCTGATGCCACGATCTGGATCTCGACGAACTCGTTCCCTGATGATCTTGACTCGTTCCGGTGTTATTAAAGAATGCTTTCTTCCTCTTCTATGACAGCTAAGGGGTCCTCCTATCTCATTAAAACGTTTCCAAGTTGTTTGTACGGTGTTGGGTGAACTCCAAGGAATTTAGAAATCATCTTGAACGATGTTCCCTTTTTTTCAAGTCGATGATGCCGCACGATGAATACAATCAGCTGTCATTTTTGTAATACGAAACGGATTTTCATGAAACTTTCAGAAAATGATTAAAATGTCATAGAAAATAAGATAAAAACATAAAACTGCACAAAAAATGCGACAGTGCACTATGAGCTTGCGCCAAAGTTATGCACCCGTAATTTTGCCGCACCCTGTAGTATACCATTCGGTCAAAGACAACACTATTGAATTCGGATTTGTATAAAACGTTTTCGAAAACCAAACCAACTCAATAATCGAGGTTCTCCCAAAAAAATCTTTTGAACAAAAGAGCAAACGAATAGCGTAGGTTTGATCTACGATGACGCGCGAGAACATCGAAGTCTCGTGAGCCATTGAACAGAAAGAAGTGGTAAAATATGTAACCTTGATAACCTGATTGAAGTTACTCGATGTGTTTCCGCTCGCTTTGTGTAGATCCTTCGTCTCAATCTGATTGAATTGCTGTTTTGATTTAGCAATTCGCGCAATTTGTAAAATTCTCGATAATCCTAGACATGAAAAATAAATGCATAACCAAATTTAAAAAATTTGACAACTCACCTTTGTTGTTTTCATCATCCAGAGGCTGTTTGAGGGGAGTGATGTCCTTGAATTGACACAGGTACAAAACAACATTGTCCTTGTCGTTTTTAATTGGAGACAAATGAACTAGAAGCCATATGGGAGTTTCTGAAGGATAGTATTTCGAAAAAACTAGAAAACATCCATATAATTGAAATTGCTCACTGTTCTTTTTGGAAAGCCCAATTTCAGCCTGCTCTGTTCTTGCATTATCCAGCGCATCCTGAATCTTCTGCAGACTTCCCGACTCTCCGTGCTCGCCATGCATAAACGCCAATCTAAAATTATTGGCTCTTGTTTTATATTTGACAACAAATGCCTCTCACGAGCATGGTTTTTGCATAATCTCGGCTCGCGAATACCCGACCAACTTCGAGAATCCGTCATTACAATAAACTATAGGATAGTCAACGACTTGCGCATTTGCCAGTATGAAAGAAGTGTCTGGAAATTATAGAAATTGCAACCGCACCATTGTTTTTGATCAATTGTTGAAATATGGTGAATGTATTTGGTTACGGTAATAAAACAACGAAAACGCAGTGCATCCACCATAACACTTGGATACATTCGCCAATTTTTGTAAAACAATACCAGCATTATTGCACCGTCGAATAACATTTTCAAGAAAAGTGTTTTGCGGAGCGACTAGGCCTCGCTTTCCGACTGGCATGATTTCTGGTACCCTTCAATTTCTTCTATGACATTTCAGGCGATTTAGTGAATTATCGGAATTATCTGAAAATGAACAAATATTTAAAGAATGAATCATCGCAACGATAATTAATGAATTGGTAGTGCAAAATATTAAACTATACATATTGATTAGTGATTATGCCAATGTTTGTGTTTTTTAATTTTTAACGAACATCAAAAAACGACATATTCAAATAAAAATGAAACGAATACTGCATGCTTGATTTGCTGCAACGAACAAAAAAAGAAGAAAAGAAAATGTTGGTTTCCAAGACAAATTCGAAACCATCGAATATTCTTCCCACATTTTCGAAAGTACGTGTTGGATGGCTACGGCTGAAAACGACGAGACAAATCGCGTGCTCTTCATTAAATGTCTGTCGTCAAGGGTAACTCAGGAGGATGAAGATGTAGGAGGAAAGCAAAAAAAGTGTTTGAATATTCATAGCTGGCGGGAGGACCATTCAAAGACATATGTACAGCTGAGGACCACTAAGCGACACGAAATGTATGCATGTAGACATTTATTCAAAAATGAGCAAGGGGGTGTAAGCGGAGGATAAATAACTTCCTGGAAACTCAAAAATGACTCGAACGAGTATTCGAGCATGGAGATGAAAAGGATGCATGAAACAACAAACAGAGACCATCCATCGGCCTTGGGTTCCATTAACTGTGCAATTTTAGGTGAAAATGAATGGGTTGGAAATCGTTTCCATTAGTCGATAAAAGCATAAAATATATAAATAAATGGCGTAAAATTAATACTCAATACTTAAGGGTAGACATTATCGTCGAGTAGTCGTAGAGCAGCCCTTTTTTTGGTTCATTTTTCTCAGTTCCTTTTTTTCAGATCGGAAACGCTATATAAATGATTCAGAAGCGTTTTTGCTATTTTTGAGTTGGAGTGGAGTGTTCTCGAAAAACATACACAACCAAACACAATGAGCAATTTCGGTCGGTCGGTTGTGTTGGAATGGGGGCAAAAAATGACTAAAACTTGGATGGAATACAAATAGGTGAAAGATTGGCTGAGGAATAAACGGCTCGGACCATCGAGAGTGAGAGAGAGAGAGGGCAAACGATTCCTCACTACCGATTTCTCACTCCACTACGGATTTTTCACTATCAAATTTTCACTACCGAAATTATAGTTTTTTCACTACCGATTTTGCACTACCGTTTTTTCACTTTCGATTTTTCGCTACCGTTTTTTCACTACGAAATTTTCTAATAGTCATTCTTCTTCACTTTATCAATAATCCACTTCATTTCGAAAAAACGAGTTTAAAGAAAATCTTTTTTTTATTAAATATTAAGAAAATAGCTAATAATGTGAACAATATCTATAAAATATTGTTAGAAATAACGTTGTTAATCACACGAATAGAAAAAAAATTTAAAAACAATGCAGTTAGGTGGATATTCATGGCCGCGGACGGACGAAAATTTTGAAATATTTTTTGTACCTTGTAAAGTGTTTTTTAAAATTAATTTTCACTCGTTTAAAGATAAAATTTAGCTATTTTCTTAATATTTAATAAAAAAAAGATTTTCTTTAAACACGTTTTTTTCTGAAATGAAGTGGATTATTGATAAAGTCAAGAAGCATGAGTATAAGAAAATTTGGTAGTGAAAAAACGGTAGCGAAAAATCGAAAGTGAAAAAAACGGTAGTGCAAAATCGGTAGTGAAAAAACTATAATTTCGGTAGTGAAAATTTGATAGTGAAAAATCCGTAGTGGAGTGAGAAATCGGTAGTGAGGAATCATTGGCCGAGAGAGAGATAGGTGATTTTTATTTTATTCATTTAATATAATCGCGTTATTTTCTTGAGTTGTTTTTGATAAAATCGGAAACGGACACATTTGCCCAGCCAGGTATCTAATCCATTTTACGTCAGAGCGCTTTTAAAAAGAGAAATTGGCTCGCTAAGCACAGGAGATGTGCGAAAAGAAAAACCATTTGGGAAAATTTTCGGGGAAACTTTTCCCTCCGATGTAAAATTCTGGAAAAGAAAACCGGAAAGTGCAATAGCTTTCTGAAATCGCTGCTAGTGAACGAATACAAACGTGTCTTTAAATTTTGAGATTTTTTTCGCTGCTGAATATTTTATTATGCTATCCAGATTTTAGAAAAAAAAACTGGTTTGTGCAGTCTGCATAGAGTTCTTAGTGTTTTTTTAAATAATTCCTTAAACGGTTGTTTGAGTTTTTCGCGAAATCTACCTAGTAGTACCGCAAAACCTTTCAGACATATTTTTTCCTTTTTTTGCAGAAAGTTTCCGGGTCCGGAAATTTAGGTCACCGGGAAACCCGTGGAATTTACCCGACACTCTGCTAAGTATGCAGCCAACAGGTGAGACAGAAATCCTGACATTTTTTGCACAAGATTTTAGCGAGTGAGAGAGAGAGGGACAGAGAGAGACAGATAAAGAATGAATTTGCGACTTAGAAACTAGAAAAATGAGTGAACATTGAGCTCGATGATTCAATAAATGCGGTCTCGAAAGTGCAATGAATATGGAATTAATTTTCGAATTCCCATTAGAGAATTGATCACAAAATAATGGGAGAAAAACGAACAAACAAAAGTAGTTGTGATCAAAAAAGAAAAGATTGAGAAGAGAAGTTGAAAAAGCTGTTGGGAATGGTGGAGTGGAAAATGAGGAAATGGCCGACGCGTTAGTAAGCTGGGAAATTTTTTTATAAAATTCTGATTAAAAAATATTGAATTTTACGATGGTAGATTTGCACGAAATTTTTCAAATTGTAGTTTCAACATGTTCGACTCACATCAGTAGAGGCAAACAATTGTTCAAGTGCAATTATAGAGAAAATCTGTAATTCTCATCGCGACTAGTCGCTCTGGCGCGATGACATCAAATCATACTCATGTGCATGTACATGTGTATGTGTGCATATGAAATCCCCCATCGTCGCCTCGAAAAGATAAGACTATGAAGAAGAGATTTTGGAAAATAAAATGAACTATGATGAAGAAGAAGAAGCAGTAGTAGTAGAAGGAGAAGGTGAGAACAAAATAAGTATCGTCGAACGAACAAGAACAACTTCATCGTCGGCTTCTACATGCGTTTCTGTTTGGCGATCCGTTCAAAAATTCATAGTGTTTTGTTTTTGTGATAGAGCTCTCAGCAATTTGCGCGGTATTTTGTCGGCCACATAAAAAGTTTAATTTGCGCAACAAAAAGCGATCCCGATAACTGATGCACTTTGAGTGCAAATGATAATATGTACTTGTTCATTTGGGTATTAAAAAATCCAACGAATATCTAGAAAACTCAATAATGCATTTGTTAATCCTATTAACAAAATAAGATTTTTTTACAATTGAATTAAAAAAAAACAGTTTAAATAGAATTTTTGAGGTGAAATTTGATAATTATGAAGAACGTTGTAATTTAAATGATAGTCATCATATTTTTTTTCGCAAAATGGTGTTTTTAATAATAAATTAGATATTTGGGTATTTATATTGGAAAGATTGAAGGGTGGTCAATATGAACGTTTTTCATGGGCGTCTTCTCTTATGCTATTGTTTTAATTGACATCTTCAATTAGCATTCTGTTTCAGCGAATTCCTATTTTATATCTACAATACCGAGAGAACACAATAGTCCGCGATTTAAAATTCCGGAAACACCTCCAATAGATGATATAAAGAGACTAGCTATAAATTATTATAAGTATGTTGCAACCTTTTCGATAATATAATTCATTTTATAGAAAAATTAAAATTTTATAAATATCGCATTTGAAAAAAATCATTTTGATGACTTTGGGTAGTACTTTCGCTTTTTAACTGCAGCTGTTAATCAAATAAAACCAAGAATTCGGGAAAACAGAAAAAAAAATCGAAGACGACAACTAAGAAGACGAATCATGAGCAAATGAGCAAAAACACCAGGAGTCGTGAGGACGAAAATGAAAACAATATGTCAGCGTGAAGAAGAGGAAGCTGCGGCTGCAGAAGAAGAAGAAGGACATGAAAATGTTTTTGGGAGAAAAAAATCAGAACAAAGTTTGATGTAGAAAAAAAGAAGAACAGCTATGAATGAACGAACGGACGTTGAATTGAAATCGAAAAATGCTCAGATTTTCAAGGGGACGAAAAATCGCCGCCGTCGTTGTCACCACACGGCAAAAAAAAATGAGAGGCGAGTGTGAGACATCTGGTCGAAATCTCCCGGCCGTCGTTTTGAGAGGTGAAGCATAAACTCGGCAAAATGGCCACAAAACATGGCACTGCCTGAACAACTTGAATCACACATCTGGTAGTTTCAGGAGACAAGACGTCGACGAAAAACTAGGTGACGACAAAAATTGCACGTCGTCAGAAAATGCGTTAATCCTTCAATTTCAATTACGTTTCGGCAGCCAATTTTTTCGGTACTAAAAAATAGAAAAAAAGGCGCATCATTGTCTACTTTGAGAAATAGCTTCGAAATTTTTCAACGACCACCTCTTGTCTATTTTGCGAAATTATTGCGTGACTAATGACTCGAAACAAGATGAGAGAAACAAACAAACAATTTAAAATTACAGAAAAAAAATAACTCAAGAGTTTTCGATTTAATCATTAATTTCGATTTTTTAACCGCACATGACGATACTGAGAACCGATTTTTTTTAGAAAACGACAATATGTTTTAAATTTGAATAATAAATAATCTTTTCTGGAATTTATTTCAAGACCAAAAGCTACTAGATCTTTATTTTGCCTTATATCGGTTTATTACATCGTAAAACGTTGCGTTCGACAAAAACACTTTGATTAATTAAAGAGTTATAAACTTTTCTAATATTTTTCGATTGTTCGCAATTTTTTTTTCAATTGATTATTTTTGTTGAAAAGCTATTTTAAAATATATAGTTATTATAACCGTCGGAAGATGTTTAAAGACTTCAAGCTCAATATTTATTATTCTAGTTTTTTTTTGTATTGTCGAAGAAAGACG